GGTCCGTCAATTTTATATCGTTCTGTTTTTCACAATTTTGCCCTTTGACTCATCCTTCATTTCGCGTTTCCGTGGGGTAAATTTGCTTGGATTCGTTGATTTTCAGAATATATGCAGGAATTGGGGAATTATGTGGAGCCTTTTGATTAGTTTGAGTCGATTTCATGTTGAGATTGTGCATTATGTTGATTTATCACTGTGTATATTGAATTTCGCTCATGGAATTCGGTAGGGGTGGCAAATCGTGTTATTGTGTTTTCGTATTTCACTATCTGTGTTTCATTCCGTGTTTTTCTTTTCGCGTTTCGTGTTGTGTCGTGTTGGTTTGTGCCCATTGTCTTTATAGTCGTGTTTTCTAATCATGTCGTATTCATATTTCGTGTTGTGCTAGTCATTGACACCACTAGATTTTGAGACATTATGAACAAGTTTACGTATGTATTCTAATGAAGCATCAAATCCATTATTGGTGTCATCATTATCATCACCACCAGATTAGTTAGATAGCTGAAGAAAACTCCGATAGGTCCATTTTTTAACATACCTGTCGTAGTTTTGGATACAGTTGTTTTTAGTTGGTCCCTTGTCAATCTATGTGCAAACCAAACCAATTTGTTATAACGCAACTGAGAATAGTACTTCATTTACTTAAATTACTTTCATGTGCAATAATACAGAATCATTATCTTTTCTCATCTGGCTGAATGACTGGCTGCAAAATCTGTTTAGAGGCTTGAGCACCATGTCCACTTTCTTGAATTCCGGTTTGTATGACGCTTGGCCTTTGTTTCTTGGTTATATTTCGAATTTGGTTCTTTAGTAGTTTGAATAGAACAATAGTTAAAATTGTGCTCGACTGTTTACCTGACTGAAGAAAACAACTTCAAACGCAATCATATGTGATAAAGTTGTCTTGCCCTGTGTGGAGACTCGAGTGGCGTGTGTTTTTACTTGGCTTGGTTTACAAAGATATTGATTTTTGTATCTGAATCTGTGTGATCTTGGCTTGAGTTTTGCAGGCACGACATGTTCACATCGCATTAATGAATCTTATGCACTGTACAAGTTTTTTCCCCGAGGGCACAAAGAAACACTTTTCTGATGTGCCTTTTTTTACCTTTTTTAACTGCAGCTTGAACCAGCTATCCATGTCAGGGTGAGAAGCTTATTGAACATACAATGCTAGGACCGTATTATGTAAAATGACGCCGTGCGACTCTTATGTAGTCTAGACATGATTTTTATAATTGTTCTTATGCCTTTGGGGTTGAAAACTTGAAATACATTCATTTGCTTTCTTTTGAGCTTTTGTTTCTTTTTGGCTGGTTTAGAATCACTTTTGTACCATATGTTTGCTAATTAGTACATCTCTTTTTCCCCTCTGACTTGGGCTTTGTTTCTTTATGGGCTCAGTTTAACTTCAACTGGATGACAATTTCACATGGGCTCACTTCTGTTAGTGTTTAGAGAAAAAAAGTAAAAGCCCAATTGAATTTTGATTTTAAGTTTTTTGGGCCAAAAATAATAATAAAGATAATGGATTATTTGATGTTGTAGTATTATTTAAGAGAAAAAATCGTGGAAATTTAGTCAATTTTACCAGATAACAGTAATCAAATTTTTGCTGTTAAGATGGACAAAATATGTTTTTTCTTCTTTATTCTTTTACACAATTTATTCTTTATTTTTTTATCATAAATTGTGCATAATTTTGAACAAAATCAACACAATGTAGGACTCTGGAAGATGGGGAGACTTTTAATAATAAAAATTAAATGCAGACTAATCAAAAAAAAAAAATAATAATAAATAAATAAAAATAAAAACATTATCCTCCAATGGAGAAGGCCTATTAAAAGCATGACTCAACTGTGTATGATTGCAAAATTCATTAAATGATAAGTTCAGATTGCGTGATTGAGATTAGAGCATCATAATCAAGATTTAATAATTAATTTCTATATGAATTCACTAAATGATTTTTGAGTAAAAGCAAAATCTTCACACCATCGTTGTTAATATAATCCGGACCTCATTTTGGATTTCCTTTAATAAAGCTCAAAGGTAGAAAAATAAAATGAAAAAGGAAAATAATTTATAAATTATTAAAATAAAATGTATTTCAATATTACAAACATCAACTAAACTTTTTTGTTTCTTTTGGAAATTTATTGGATTTTCTTTTATTATGAAGATAATTAACTCAAAAGGAAATTTAGTGTTTGTAAATCAAGTAGACTAACTCTGATTTTAAATTAATTAAGAGGAGTTTAATGTAACAAAAAATAAGATTTCCCATTAAATAAATCAATAAATCTAGATTTTATTTAGCAACAAATGATTAGGTAAACCAATTGGTAAATCAACCTAAAATATATTTTTTTGGGTAGCCAGCCACGGTATCCGGAGCTATATATACTTAGTAGTGGTGAGTGAGTCTCCCAATAAGAGTTTTCTGCATCCACAAGGACTCAAACCCGACACTATTAATTTGATTTTACATCTACAAATAGCTAAAAATTTCAATTAAGAAAAGTTGATGTACCAAAAATGAATTTCTTTTTTTTTTAATTAAATAAAACATTAAAACCCGAACAAGAGAGGAGGGAGGAGAGTATGTTTTGAGAAAAGCGGCAGCGGAAGGTGTCTCTTTCGCTCCTTAATTCCTCTCTTCACTACTTTTTTTTTTTTATAATAAATAATTTGCGTTAACCATAAACGATAGAAATACAGAAGCGGAGAAAAATCTTTTACACATTGCTGTAATATATATTCTGTAAAAATGTAATTGTAATCTGTGTTGGGATGATGTTACAGCGGCCAAGAAAGACAAAAAACCCACCAGTCTTCGCGGCTTTCTCATGTTTGAGCACTCAGTTTTTATAAGAGAGAGAGAAAAAAAAAAGGAGCAGAAATTGTGTGTTGGGATCACGCCATAATCGCCAGCCAAAGCCGGGGCCTTTTCTTTTTCTTTTTTATTTTTATTTTATTTTATTTTTTTTTTTGCAGCCCTTTACAAATAAGTGGCGTTTTACATGTCCTGAATCTCATTCTGCTGTCATTTTCAGGTATACTTGATGTTCTGCTGCTGTTCTTTGGAATAAAAATCGTTTCTTTACAGTTCTTGTTTTTTTTGGTACAATCTTTACAGTTCTTGTTGATAGTTCATTATGTGTTATGAAGGGAAGAATTTGAATGGGTTTGCGTTTTGGTATGTTTTTTGGGTGTTTAAAGATGAGTGACATTTGAAGGAGAATTTAAAATTAAATGCAATTTTTTATTTTATTTAAAAAAAAAAAAGTGAATGCTAGTCAATTCCATTAATTCTTGAATCCAAGCCTGAACATTTTTTATTTTTATTTTTATTTTTTTTTTTCTAATTCTTGTGTTGTTTGTTAATTTACTCTCACTGGTGAAGTGGGTATTTACTCTTTTTAGTTGTTTTGTGCATTGCTGATCGTAGTTGAACCTGAAAATGTGTTTCCTGTCGGACTTTATACGAGAAGTTCTTATTTTATTTTATTTTATTTTATTTTATTTTATTTTTTTGTGTGTACTGTGAATAAAGGGTACTCATTTTTATTAAATTTAGAAAATTCTAGTGGTAGAAAATAATACATTTGGAGTAAATTTGATTCCCAACAGAGTAGTGAACCATCAAAATACTGGTTTTGTGGGTGCTGTTTTTCTGCTGTTTTAAGGCTACCCTGAATTTCTGTGCACATATTTATATATTCTTCCCATTCCTTGTTTTCGGGTAAATCTGTTTTGTGATTTTATACTTAGTGCATCACTCAGGTAAATGCAGTGGATGTATGTTAGCAAATGTTGTTGTTTTCTGTAACTCCTGTATGCCTTCATGTCTGATGCCGGCAAAGAATTGTTGGTTGTATTTATTGGCTCACATCATGTTTTGGAAGATTCTCTTTTATTTTATACAATTATTTTCGGCCAGATTTATTAGCGGTGTGGTTACGTTTCTCCTACTTCCTTCCTCACAAAATATAGTGAGCTCCCTCTTAGATCTTTCACTCTTGCTTGCAGCTCGTAAATCTGTTGAAGACTTGGTCGGTAACTTATTCAACTGATAGTCTGATACTTGTTGCATGTTTTTTATGGTTATCATCTCGCCGTGTTATTCCTGGAATAATGCTGTAATTTATTTTGCTTGAGTCATTCTGTGTGCTTTTGAATCACTTCATCGTATTTATATCTTCCATGTGTGTGTGTTGTTCGAACCAGGAGATTTACTGGCTGCTTTGAGTTAATTTTTGTTCAAATGCATCTCTCTCTCTCTCTCTCTCTCTCTCTCTCTGATATGTGTCTTTAAGTATTTACTGGTTTTCATAGCTGCCATGCAGATGAATGAAATTGGTGTTGAAGTAAAATCAGGTTATTAGTTGAAGGTAGACTAGACTCTTATGTTTACCCAATGTAGCTCGAGTGATTGCCATTATGAAGATCAAATAAGAAAAAAAAAAGGATAATCTGTCTTGTTATGTTATCCATGCATTTTACCATGTGCAGTTTCTGCATTTTACCTTCTTCCACGTGTTCATCGTGTCTTGCGGAAACTAGATCGAAAAACGGGAATTTATCTAGCGACGGTTGGATTATTAAACTGCTTTTGCTTTTCAAGTACTTTTTTTTTCCCACATTCAGTTTTCTTACCTTTTATGTTGCTACATTTCCCTCTTCTTCCACGTGTTCACGCCTTGCGGCGACCCGGAAATTAAGTAGAACTCCTGTAATCTTACTGCTGGATTGCTTTTTTCCTTGTCTGCTTTCGTCAAAACTGTCTATTGTAATCCGTTATTGTTTTACTTTTCGGCCCCATCATCAATTTGTCGAGATTCCAATAGCATTGTTGACGTTTTACTTTTCGGCCCCATCATCAATTTGTCGAGATTCCAATAGCATTGTTGACGTCATAACTGCGGATATCCGACCAAATCTACCCGATCGTGTTCTTTATTACACGTGTTTGTTTGTCACTAATACGAAATCTTTACTTTGAATTTCATGACAAATTTGCTTTTGATTGATATTCTTGATTTTTTTTTTTGTACAGAGGCCTATATCTTTACCCTCTTTTAGCACAATCCACTGCAAAGGACAACTCATGGGTACTAGCTTCCCTTCTCATCAGCTAAGCAATGGGCTTTACGTATCAGGCCTACCCGAACAGCCAAAGGAAAAGACATCAACTAAGTGCTCTGTGGCCGTTCCTTACACCGGAGGAGACTCAAAAAAATCGGGCGAGCTCAGCAAGATGTTCGTCATCCCTCCAGACGGGTCAAAATCCCGGAAGACCGGGACCATGATCCAATCGGGCTCTGCAGCCCGGGCTAGCTACTCCACCCCAGGCCCAGTTTCATCCATGGGCATCTCAGGAGCCTTAGCCTCCATGAAAAAACCCCACTCTGGGCCGCTGAGCAAGCATGGAGAGCCCATCAAGAAGTACTCAGGCCCACAGTCGGGGGCAGTCACGCCAGTGAACCTTCCAACGACGGGCCTCATAACATCTGGGCCCATCTCATCCGGCCCACTGAACCACTCTGGGGCACTGAGGAATGCAAGTGGGTCTATGAAGCTGCACGGATCGTCTGTTGGCAACAACTTGGCAGTGACAACTATTGGTCGGGAGAATATTAGCCACTCATTCATGAAGAACCTCCCGAGGCCCATTTTGTGGGGGATCGTCATGCTTTTTATGATGGGCTTCATTGCCGGGGGCTTTATACTTGGCGCAGTGAACAATGCTATTCTTCTTGATGTTTTGGTAGTGTTGTTCTGCCTTGCTGTCGTGTTGTTAGTTTGGAATTTGTGCTGGGCGAGAAAAGCTGTCGTTGGTTATATTGCCGACTATCCGGATTCTGAGCTCAGGGCTGCTACAAATGGCCAATTTGTCAAAGTCACCGGAGTACGCATTTATTTTTTAGTTTATACCGTTTCATCTTATCTATTATAATCTTTACGACCGATATAATGATTGCCCAAGATCCGAGTTTTTGGGAACTCAGTCGAAAAATGTTTTTAAAGACCCTGCATGTACATGCAAAGCCATTGTTACTAGATAGTATACATAACCGAAATCATAATCAGATTTATAGTGATATTTTTTAGTGATTTTTGTTTCTATATTTATTTGACTCGAGAGTTATCGTTATTTATTTGGAAGGTGGTCGCGTGCAGTAATGTTCCCCTCAAGTCATCCTTCCAGAAATTTCCAAGATGTGTGTTCACATCTTCAAGCTTGTATGAGTATCGTGGATGGGGTTCCAAGTGGGCGCTTAGATTTTCAGAGGTTTGTTCACAACCTTATTTTGACGAGCTAAAAACATTAAGATGATTTGTATAGAATGCTTCGTGATTTAGCCTAATCATGAAATCATAAGTATCTCCCTTTCAACTATTGCAAAGACCTTGATATTTGCATCACATTAGGCAGATTTAGTATTTTTTTTACCTCCCTCAAACTCACATGCCTTGTTTTGTTTGTGTTAACTTTTTATGCCTTCCCTATTTTTCTTCGTTTCCTATGGTAAATTTTGTTTTGAAGCTGAAGTGCTTCCTGGTCGTAAGATGGTTCTTTGTTCCCCACTTTTTTGCAGAAGCATGCTGTCGATTTTTACATCTCTGATTTCCAGTCTGGTCTGAGGGCATTGGTTAAAGCTGGCTATGGTGCACGTGTGATTCCTTATGTAGATGAAAGTGTTGCCATTGATGTTGATCCTTCCAAAAACGATACTCCTCCCGAATTCATCCATTGGTTGGGAGAGAGAAATCTCTCTCTCGAGGACCGTTTAATGCGACTTAAAGAAGGGTAAGCACTGTGAATTAAAAAAAAAAAATGCCAAATAAAGAGAAAACCATAAAAACCGGAAAAAGGTCTATTAAGTCATATTTCTTACTAACTTTAACCATCGGTTTTTGGCAGGTCGATCAAGGAAGGAAGCACCGTGAGTGTGATGGGCATCGTTCAAAGGACTGAAAACGTGCTTATGATAGTTCCTCCAAACGAGCCCTTCACGACTGGATGCCAGTGGGCCAAATGTACATTACCCGCTAGTTTTGATGGGCTTGTGTTGTGGTCTGATGATGAATCAGACATGAATGTTATACCTGTGTGATATAGAAAACTCCTGTTCACACAAAAACAAAACAAAAGGACTCAATAATAATTGTTATATGATATATACAGGGAAAGACACTCCTTTCGGGTAGTCGTATACAAATTTGTACTGTTGAAACTCGGTGTTTGATGACCTTATGGGGCAAAGACAGTCTATAGCCCTTTGAACTTTTCCTTTCTTGTTCTTTCAGATGTTGTAAAACTGTTCTATTTTTTATTGTACAGTTCTTTTTTTTTTTTTTT